ACTAAATACGTTTGGCAAGAACTAGTTGAGAAATGTAAAACGACCAAAAAAATGACATGTTTAAGAATAAATAAACTTTAACATTTAATAGTATATTTAAAACAATTTATTAAATAAATATTAAATGTATCAATGATGCAAATCTCATCAAATAATCAACACATTTGATAAATATCAAGGAAAACACTTTAATACATCAAAATAAATATTTTTGACATTTACATAGTTTTACAAAGTAACTTGAACTCACCTAGTTTCCTTTACCGTTCTTTGACCGTTTCCCGACTGTTTCCCAGTCATTCTCTGATTGGTTCCTAATGAGTGTTACACTAATAATATATTATATTTTATTATCATTATTGATTTGTACATATGTATATACATATATATACACACTATTTGAAGTTATGTTATATAATTATTTGTATATATATATATATATATATATATATATAAGTGAGTTATTATACAACCATTTACATTTGTACAACCAATAAAACTCAACCTCAATCGTCCATTTTATTTGATGAATATGTGATTTCATAAAAGTTTTGATTGTTTCATAATATAAAGTATTGATCATAATTAATGAACTCTACTAACTTGTATAGATATTCAAATCATAATAAATGAACTCTCATCATTTCTATAAATATCTCAATTAATTCGGTTGCATTAGTTGTACAAATAGACATGATTGCATTTGAAATATACTCTATATATATGTATATTTATATCTGTGTATATTTACACACATTATATATCATTTTTCATTTATTTATTACATATTCACTTTATTATCTTCATTTATTTTTATTTTTATTATTATATACACGTATTAATATTAAAATTTTGTCCTAGTTATTTTAATAATTTCAAATTAAGTTAATTTTTATAGTAAATGAGATATTTATACAAACTATTTATATATTAAATTTAATTAAAGAAAAGTTTAAAAAATCCAACAACCTATTTCATTAGGATTTTTTTGATTTTTCCTTTAAATAAAAATAAAAAAACTTCAATTCATTACTGTAATATTACTTATTAAGGAACATAATATAAATACAAACTCCAATGAATCTTTAAATTGTTTTGACTAATTGCAATATTAGACCGGAAATGACGATAAGAATTAAATGATTTTAAAAACGTAATTATTTTTACAAAAAGTAGTACTTTAAAATTTCTTAAGTTATTTTCACATTTTAATAATGATATAAATAAAAAGTTTATGAATAAATAAAATAATTATAATTATAAAAACTAAAGTATGTTAAAAAGTTACTTTTTAATTACAATTAGAGTTGTAAACGAACCGAGCGTTCAGCGAACCGTTCGACGGGAAATTCGTTTATTAAATAAATGACGAACGTGAACAATTTTTTTTGTTAGTTTAGTTAAACGAACGAACGAACATGAACAATAATCTCGTTCGTTCATTTATGTTCGTGACCATTCGTTTATGTTCGTTTATATTTGATCGTTTATGTTCGTTTATATATTAAATTTAATATATAATCTTTTATTTATTTTGTATGAATTTAAATAATATTTATTTAAGTACTAACTTTTTAGAATTTATGTAGAATTAAGTTTTATCATCATTTTTTTTCTTATTTAAATTTTTACCTTTTCACTTTCCCCCTAAAACCCTAGCCTCCAGATAATTGGTGCTTAATAGTTAATTGAACAACAATTAATGATGTTCGTTTATGTTTGTTTAGGCCTGTTCGTTTAGACTTGTTTGTTTACGTTCTTTTATCCCGTTCGTTTACGTTCGTCTATGTTAATGAACAACATAAATGAACAAAAAACACACTTGTTTCTAAACGAACGAACATGAACACAAAGATTTTTGTTCGTTTACTGTTCATATTTGTTCGGTTAAGTTAAATGAACGAACAAGAACAAGTCTTTATTCGTGTTCGTTCAGTTCGTTTACAGCCTCTAATTACAATTTTTAGATTTATTTATAATTATTTCTAATGAATGTGAAAAAAATAATGATTTTCTGCGTTTTTTTAAAATTTTTTATGATTGCAATCATGTTTTTTTAATAATAATTTGTCCACAGATAAATTAAAAATAACTATAAAAAATAAAGAAAATATCTACAAAATTAATTTCTAGAAAATATTAAATTAAATAATAAAAAATTTATAATACTATAAAGAAAGAAAAATAAACCAAATAATTAGATTAGGATATACTATATAGTATCATGTAGCATAGGGGAAAGTTTGAGAAGAGTGCCCCTTACTTTATAGCTACACCTTAGACTAAGATCTCTAAAACGTATTTATTACATTCTTGGTATCTGTGGTTAGAGATAGTGATATGTCCCGACTCAGTGGGAAACCTGATTCATCTAATCCGAACGGGAATGGGGATTCCCCGTTAAAACGGGTCTCAGGGTCGGGGCCGGAGATCCCCAGTAGACTCAAACCGGGGACGGGAGATGTTACTCAAACCGGGACCGGGGATCTTCGATAGAATCAAACTAAATAATGTTATTTATGTGGTTTGATCGGGGATTGCTAGAAATTTGACCGGGGACGGGATGATAATCTCCGTACCTGCCGGGGACTGGGGCCGGGGGGTGTTACTACAAACCGGGGCCGGGGATTACAAAACCCGCTCCATCCCCGCCCTGTTGTCATACCTATATGTGGTTTGTAAAAAGGCACGCTCTAAATCCTTCATGCTAACGGATTTAATTAGCCCTATTAAGTATAGCGATATTTTTGTCTTTTTACTTGATCTCTCGTCATTTTCCTGATAAAAAATAAAAAAAACAAATATCCAATTACTTTATTATTATTAAATCTAATAAAATAATTATATATATATATGTGTGTGTGTGTGAGCGAACAAATGCAAACCACTCAATATTTGTACAAACCGTTAAAACCACTATCATCTGTCGATTTTCATTGTTTATTTTAATGAAATTGTTTTATATATAGTTGTTTCTATGTTTTAATGAAACTGTTTCATGTATTTCTCTAAAATTAATATAATGAAGATAATAATATCCATAATTAACACTCTTCATAATAAAAGTGGTTAATCAACCTATCATAATAACAAAAAACAAAGAAAATATATGATTTGTTGAATGAGGTTTGCACGTTTTGTAGAAATAACGTGGTTTACAAAATAAATCTCTCTCTCTCTCTCTCTCTCTCTCTCTCACACACATATATATAGGAGCAATCAAATACAAACCACCCCTTTTGTACAAACCTTACAAATCAATCTCATTCATCCATTTTCTTGATCAATGGTCATTATTAAAAATATGTTATATTAGAAAAGTAAAATAAAAATAAAAATAAAAGTTTTAATATCTAATCAAGAAAGGGCAAAATTGACAAACCATCCTTAACTTCCAGCCATACTATTCGATGATCCTTTCCAAAAATCATTTTGGAATTGGTTTCATCTATAAAAACATTTTGGAAACTGTATCTCATTTTTTTCATTAGTGAAATTGATTTCATTGTTCGTCTGCATAATGAAATTTGAGTCAAATATGGTTCAGTCAATAGAATATATTTTCCAAAAATCTGAATATTATGTTTTCGTTAATGAAATTCGTTTCATCATTGAAATTGGTTTCAATGACTTCAGAATTCCAAAAACTAAATGAAATTGTTTCGGCAAAGAAATTTGTTGAAATGTTTCCTAATCATGGTTTCTAAGAAAGATGAACTCGGTTTTACATATGAAACTAAATATTGTTCAGTTAATGAAACTTAATTAACTGAATAATAATATCTCATTCATTTTTAAATTTGTTTCATATTTACTAACTAAAATGGAATTGGTTTCATGATTTATAGCCAAGATGAAATTGGTTTTATTAATAAAACCAAACATGGTCTCGTAAATGAAACATTTCAAAACCTGAATACTATTATTTCATTAATGAAAGTAGTTTCATGGTTCCTAACTAAAATGAAATTAGTTTCATTTTTGAAACATTTAGAAAGTTGTATAACATGGTTTCATTAATGACAATTACTTTGTTTTATGAATGAAAATAAAACAATATACTCAAAATCTGAAAAAACATCACAACTATATTATTAATAAATCAATAATTACTTGTGAATTGAAAAAAAAAATACAGATTCTTTCGTTATTATAACAATGAAATAAATAATTTCATAAAAAATAAATTATTATAAATAGACTTTGTAATTGATGAGTATTTTTAATTTAATAAAAAAATATAAAATATTAATGATGATAATTGTATATTAAACTCAATTGATTTACATTTCTTTTAAAAACAGTTACTCTATTTAATCTTCTATATTTAAAAACAATTAAAACATTACCAAGATTATCTATTACAAAGTAAAATGACATTCATATTTTTATTCATTAAAAATAAAGAGAAAAACATGAAATTATTCTATTGGTTGATGGTAATTTCTATTGTTTGTATGAAATAAGAGATTTGCAAATTATCTCTCTCTCTCTCTCTCTCTCTCTCTCTCTATATATATATATATATGATGATTATGTGTAATGGTTTTTAAGATCATAAATAAATGTAATTTTTATCTAAATTTATTTAAATAAATCCAGAATTTATAATATATATATATATATATATATATAATCAATTTGAAATTCTTTTATTTAACATAATATATTTTTAATTTTTTTTACCATCTTGTTTATATTAATTAACATGTTATATTATTATGGATTTAATTAATTATATAATAAAAATTTATAATTGACTAAATTTTCAAGACGTCTTTTTTTAATTATTTACGTTTTTCATCTAGATTATCAATTCAAACATGATTTGTGCATCAAAGTCGTACTATCGTACAATTAATGTCATAGTAATGACACATGCTTCTATTCTTGGCATATAAATAGGTCTGATATGTTTCATATATTCATATCAAAGTTCACTTTATAGTATTTTACATACACACACACACATATATATATATATATATATATCTCGTAAGATGGCATCATTTGAGTTGGGTGTTGGTGTTGAGAAAGCTTCATGTCATGCCTCCATCCTTGCCATAGGCACCGCAACTCCTTCCAATTGTTTGTATCAGGCCGATTACCCCGAGTACTATTTTCGCGTTACCGATAACGAGCATATGGTTGATGTTAAAGCTAAATTTGAACGCATTTGTATGTATTACGTTTGTTTATGCTTTTTCATTCTTTAAGATGAACATTTGATCTACATGTACCCGTCCCATGGTTAGCCGTCTTGACGGGTAGCAAGTAGGGAACAAACGTTCATTTCTCTACTCGAGAACTTGATTCAAGCAAAGTCAAGAACGATATTGCACACTCCTAATCATACCCTAGTATGCATGTATGTACGTATGTATGTGTGTAACTTCATCGACTTTCAACTACGTTTCATTAACTTTCAACTACCTTCATCTACTTTTATATTCACTTTCAACCATTGTCACGAACTTTTACATACACTTAATCATCTTCACATTCATGAATTTGTTATAGTTTTCGTCATTGTGATAAAAATAAGTAAATAAAGGTAGTTGAACGTAGATGAATGCATATTTATATATAGGTTTTGTTCTCATGTTCTCACCATAACTCGTATTCTCATCGGATCTCAACCCCATATATATGTATATATGTATATATATATATATATATATATGAAACATTTGCAGGTGAGAAAACTCAAATAAAGAAACGATACATGTTTCTCACAGAAGAATTTCTTAAAGAGAACCCAAATCTATGTGAATTCAAGGCTCCATCTTTGAATGTTCGCCAAGATCTGTTAGTCACCGCCATTCCAAAGCTTGGCAARGAAGCTGCCATCAAGGCCATCGACGAATGGGGACTCCCAACATCCAACATCACCCACCTCATTTTCTGCACCACCTCCGGAATCGACATGCCCGGTGCCGACCATCAGCTTGTGAAGCTTCTTGGTCTCTCCCCCATGGTCAAACGCCTCATGATGTACCAGCAAGGCTGCTCTGGCGGAGCCATGGTCCTTCGTCTCGCCAAAGACCTTGCTGAAAACAATAAGGGTTCACGTGTCCTTGTTGTTTGCTCAGAAAGCAGTGCAATCATGTTCCGTGGACCGAATCCGAACCACCTTGACTCACTTGTCGGCCAATCTCTTTTCGGTGATGGAGCTGCTGCCATCATCGTAGGTTCAGACCCTGAGTTCTCCATCGAGCATCCATTGTTCGAGATTGTGTCCACAACTCAAACCACCTTAGAGAACACTGAGATGGCATTGAAGCTGCACTTGAGGGAGGAAGGGCTCACGTTTCATTTGCAAAAGGATGTACCCAACATGATATCGGAGAACATAGAGGATGTATTGAGGCATGCTGTGTCTCCACTGGGGATAAGTGACTGGAACKMGCTGTTCTTGGTGGTTCATCCAGGTGGTCGAGTCATATTAGACCTGTTGGAGTTGAAACTGAAGCTTAAGAAGGAGAAATTGAGGGCGAGTAGGCACGTACTTAGTGAGTATGGGAACATGACCAGTGCTTGTGTCTTSTTCATCCTTGACGAAATAAGGAAGAAATCCATGGAAGAAGGAAAAAGCACCACCGGTGAGGGTTTAGATTGGGGTGTTTTGTTTGGATTTGGGCCTGGTTTGACGGTTGAGACGGTGGTTCTTCGTAGCCTCTCTTCTGCTACTCCGGTTGCTTTAAAAAACTGATCATCGTTAGAGCAGAATAAACCCTTTTGGTATAATAAGTGATATATATATATATATATATATATATATAGGTGGAGGTTCAAACAAGAACCCATGTGATTTACGAAAACGCGAGAACAAGCGTATTTCTTTTCTCGTTCATCATAATCTACACATAGTCGATGGGTTAACATCTTTTCTTCATTTCGGTAGTGTCCATATTTTTTAAGTTAACCCTAGCCGAACGGAATCCTTGTGATAATTGTGTGATAATGACATGATTATCACACCCAAATCACACCAAATCATGTTGATATAAGCGATAATGTAATAATTGTATGATAATCACATGATTATCACACYCATATCACATCAAATCGTGTGGATATAAGTGATAGTGTGATAATTGTGTGATAATCACATGATTATCACACCAATATCACATGATTATCACACCAAAAATTTAACTTATCAACTAAAACGATAACCCAAGTGATGTATAACGGTGATTATCACACCCATATCACATGATTACACA